TTAGAAAAAGGCCTGAAGAACCACACAACCTCTATAACTTGATAATTCTCAAAAACTCATTGGAGCACACAAGGTATTTTCCTATTCTTGCTACTGGAAATATTGCTTTTCTTCTTGAGTTAACCATGAATGATTTTCCCAGCACCTTAATTAGATCCTATATGATAGGAATCTTTAAGAAAATAATCAATTCGAATATTGTTCTTTTAAATCTCCTCATAGGCGGGTCATTCACGGTAGAATTCTGGAAGAAATGCAAGTTATTCACCATTACCTGCTAGGCATGCAATGGTTTTGACAGCATAAAGTTCAACGACCAATTTGAAATGGGGATCAAATTTGAGGATCAAATATCTTTTTTTAGCCTTTTTATTACAAAAAGCTGATGTTATCTCCTTTCTGGCCTTAGATTTGTTTCATTGTGGAAGGTTGTTGCATTTATTCATACCCTAGCTGAATGGTGCTACCTTTGGAGCTAACCTTGATGACTGAAGTTTCATGTGGGTTTGCCTCTAACTGGTTCATTAATTAGAAACTTTAAATTTATGAATGTGCAGTTTTGCATGTCCGAAAAATCCCTTAGATGTGCAGTTTTGCCTCTAACTGAATAGTGCTACCTTTGGAGCTAATCTTGATGACTGAAGTTTCATGTTGGTTTGCCTCTTAACTGGTTCATTAATTAGAAACTTTAAATTTATGAATGTGCAGTTTTGCACATATTGACACAGTTATTCTTATATGAAGTTCAACTCTCTGCAAAAAATGAAAGTGTATCCAGGCCTTATTTTTGAGTTCCTTGTTTGAGCCCACTGACTGTGCTTAGTGCCTGTTCTTTTCCATTTTACTTTTCTTGCTTGCAGTGGCATTTTTCTTCCCTATTTTGCAAGTGATACGTTGTCATGAGGTGGTGTTATATGCAGGTGCATCTTGACCACAAACATATGGGTCTGGGTGGAGATGATAGCTGGACACCCAGTGTCCACGATAAGTATCTGATTCCTCCCGTGCCGTATTCCTTCTCAATGAGGTTTTCTCCGATCACTGGTTCCAACTCGGGCTACGACATCTACAAATCTCAAGTTCAAAACTGAAATCCTTTTTGAGCCTGTGGTACCGAATACTTTGTTGGACGATAAGTATTTAACTCAGCAACGATCATCCGTGATTTGTAGAAGTTATATCAGGTTGCCTATGAACCCTGAAAACGTGTAGAAGTTTTATTTCTATTTATTTTGAAATTACTTCATGCATAAAGCCTGGATATGAGCTACTTGCTTTCACTATCTTGCACAGGTACGTTTTTAAACTCCTGGATTGAACCTAAGAAAGATGCATAAAGCTTGAATCATTGGAACACATGGCTTTGTTACCTAGAAACTACATTTGTCATAAAGATTAGGTTGTAGATTTTGGGCTTTAAAAGTAAATTTAAAGAATAATTTTGTCTGTTATCCACAATATTTAAAAATGAGATTATAAAAAAAAAAAAAAAAAAAAAAAAAAAAAAAAATTGGTAATTTATTGTATGACCTATATTTACAATCTATATAACATGAATGAGGTATCAAAGAAATTTAAACTAAACTTTTTGTCTCAAAGTGATTTTCTAAAAAAAAATGAAATCACAATTGAGGAGTGTAAATCTTTGAGACGTGGTGAATGAAAATATACTCTCAAATTTGGTCAAAGGAATTATTATAATCCAGTGTGAAATATTGGGGTTCACCATTATGCAAAAAAATTGTCAGAATGAGTCCATACAGTTTTAAGTTAATATGACTTTTTTTCAGGGTTAATTTTTGGCTTGCTTCTCTAATTTATAACAAATATATATATATATATATTATTTATTTTTCATCAAGTAAAACGTAGATCAAACCCAATTAAATAATCATCTGAATGAGAATTTTTTTTATTTTTATTCAGTCTCAGTTACAAGAATTTGTGTTTTTTACTTCAATTGCTAATTCCCTCTTCTCTCATGTTCTTTTTTATTTTTCCAAATTACGCGTTGAAAGTGGGGAAGCTTTTGCTGCGGTCATCCAAATGGCTTTCTCTGACACAGTGTGTGGCTCCAGTAAGAGGGACTGAGAGGCTTCCTTGCATTGCTTCATCATTATAACAAAACTTTCCTATTTTGCCTTGCGAATACACAGACAGAAGGCCTTGAACGTTGTTGAATCGACCGCAACAGGATGCAAGTAAGAAATAGTTTTTCCTGGTCGAATATACACAGAGAAGACTTTTGATACCGAGGCTCTGACTGATACGACGAGCGAGTTATGGAAACTAGAAGGGGGGCAACAAAAGGGGTATTTATGGTTTTTTGTCTCAATCTGATTTAGCAGAAGACAGGGAATGGGTTTTGTAGGCAGGTCTAGTATGTGGGCAGTTCGAAAATTCTGTCCATGCAAACAAAACAGAAGACAGGAAATGGGAAGATGGTGGAGGTGTCCGGAAGTGGAAGAGGGGCGGGACGCAACTCTATAATGGAGTTTAGAGCGCTTGGATCACGATAATTTAAACGCCAAGCAAGAAAAATACAATGACGAGATAACCAGAATCAGGAAGAAACAGAAGGAAGATCCCCCATATGGTGTTTTGCTTACAACACAGCAACCCCACCTAGCACCGTGCAGCTCCTAATATAGAACCTAGTAAATGCTTTGGCAGTTCGATAGTTGAAGCTATTAATCTACAATGTAAAACCCCAACTTGTATTTGTTATGGAAACTTAAAAATTGTGTTCTGAGATGCAAGAAATAGAAACTAACTTGAATGCTCTTATCTCTAGTTTCAACAAGGGAGGAGGATTAAGTGGGAAGAGCCTTAGAGATTTATAGGCTTCTATGGCTGAAATGGAAACCGAAAATGTGAAGCATTGAATTTACTAGCACAATTAAAACAACATATGAATTGGTGGGATGAGACTTAAATGCATTTCTTTACCATCGTGAGTAGAAAGAGGGCAGAAGGAAAGTGAGACAACTTATATTGAGGTAATCAAAGAAGGCTGGGAGAGAGAACATTCTGAAAAAAAAAATATATAATTTAGTGTATTCTATGTAAGTCAATTATTGTTAGAGCAAAAAAGAAATAACTCTTGTACTATACGATATCTAAACTCTTGTTTGACACCTACTATAACTTCATACAATAATATATTCGCTCGAATAAGTTCAATGACCTTATTCTTGAAACAAATACCTACATAAATATAATAATATCTATTATACCAAGATTTTAATTATACTAGTCTACTTGGATTAATGTCGTCAAATTCATATTAATCCTTCGAGAATATTATAAACCAAGTATAATCTCATTATAATGATCTCACTATAATCTTATTGTTGTTAATAGTTTAATGGACGTTTTTTATTTAGACTTTCTAAAAATTGTGATAAAATTAGATAATGTGTCTTTTACTTACAAAAATAAATTATTATAATATCTTTAAAAGAAAAGTCATTACAACTATACTTCTAAAATATCTTATGTAATCAGTTTATCAAACATATTGTTCTTCATATATCAGCTCCTACCATAGACCGGGCCAGACAAACATGTGCTAGAGCTCATGTACAATAGTTAAGGATTACTTGAAGCACACGGTGGGCAGTTGTGCCTATTGAGCAACTGATACCACTTGGGCAGACACAAATAATGATACCACGCTACCACGTAGCATTAAGCTATCGTACGTTGAAATGTGAATTTCCAGCCTCCAAGGACCAAGTCGAATTAAAGATGCTATATATATTTAAATATGGTTCCTCATAGAGAAAATTCCTCTAATGATCCAGAATGTGCGCATTAGAAGAAGGTAATTTGATTAGACCCCTACTATAGGTCAATTGAAACAGCACGCTGGTGCCAGGACTTTACGATAATGAAGGGTCCTTGAGGGCATTCAGTAGGATTTTACGATAATCAATGGTCCTTGAGGGCATGCAGTAGGAAATGCACCCTTCTAATGTGTGGTAGTACTCGAATAGGGAAACCTATTACAACTCAGCAACCGAATGGATGAAATGAATCTATGATCTTCAAGAGTCTTAAGCTGCATACAAAAGATTGAATATGACCTAGAGAGGTTTCTTCCCACAAACGACACTCTACCGATGACTTAAAGCTTAGTATTGACTTAAGGTAGAGTAATCAACTCTTATAATAAATTGTTTTGGTCTGTTAATGCACCTCTAGTCACAAGGTCGACATTTGCACTTGCCTGATGAATGGTACCACTCAAGTAGGCTCGAGTACAAGCTACCACGCCAACATATACCACTCAACAACCTTATAGAGTGGCATGAGTTTCTAGGCCCTGGAGGGTTCCAAGTCTCACACGAAAGTTCGAGTCTAACATAGGGAGGGGGGTTTTCCCTCAAAGGATACTCTACCAATAGCCTAAGCAGATGTGACTAGCGAATGAGGCGTGATCAACAACCAGCACAAGTTGGTCTAGATCAGATGTGCGTGCCAAATCTCCTATGTATAATGCATTGGATTGGGCTCGCATCCTTTTGAACTGTTAACTGGATATCATGCCAATGGTACTACTTATGACCATACAGTGTATGACATATTTCTGATCTTCAGGGATTAGTACACTGTTTTCTCCTTGGTGATGCACTCACTCTCACTTTCTTTCCCAAGGAATCTACTAGCCTAAAAGCCACTAGATCAATATTTTAACGTTGAAAAATCAAAGTTGGTAAGAGAATAGGCATAATTAAAACAAAAGACGGATGGGAAAATTATTTAATTTAACTTAATAAAAGAAAACAAAAGTACAAAAGATTAACTAGTAAAAGAGACAATAATTAGATAGCTTAAAATTGTATAAATATAAGTTTTTCTTAGGGAAAACAAAAGAAAAGCATTACTATGGCGCCACCAAATATGAGTTACATCTACTGAAAAGGAAAGAAAACTTTGGATATATTTTAAACAAATTAAAAATTTTTGTAGAATTTACTTACAAATTCTCCTTAAAATGATAACAATTTACCTATATAAAATTATACATGAAATTTATATGAATTTTCATTTTGTCATCTTCTGCAAAAAAAAATCACAGTTTTCTACAAGTGCATTAAATGTGGATTTGAAAATTTATTGATTTTTTCAACAATAAATATATATAATTTAATATGAAAAATAAAGAGAAATGATAGACTAAAAATTCAAAATAAGTAGACCAAAAAAAAATATAAGAAAATCAGAAACACAGAAGTGAAAAGAGAAAAGAGGAAAAAAGAACAACAAAGAACTAAAAGCAATCAAAAAAAAAAAAAAAGAAAACTTAAAGAGATAATAAATAGATGAAATAATATATGATAGATATTGATTTTTGCTAGAAAAGCCAAACTAAACAATCAAATATTATTGATGCAAAGTATTTCAAATTGGACATCAAACTGAGTATTTGCTCAAATCAGTGCACATATCAATACAAACCTCACAAGATACTGGACACAAGACCATGCAAAATATTTCACGACAGAAGAATAGAATTACATTTATTAACCAGATATCAATTGCAGCTGAAGCACTCACAGATTGTTTCAGCACTTACCTTTGAGTCGCAAAGTAAAGGCTTTCAAAGCTAGTAGAACTTCCTTCAACCTCTTGGTTGAAGCCTCATCAATCAGATTGCCATCCGCATCAAATTTTGCAGGAGGCTCAAATGCTTTCACAAAAAACTCAGGCTGGTTAATGAAATGTAAATCAAGAAATACTCCAATTTGACGGAGATGACGTTGTCCTAGAGCACCACCAAAGCTTCCTCCTGCACTTATAATGGCAGCAGCTTTGTCTGCCCAGACATTTGGTGGTCTGGAAGCCCAATCAATTGCATTCTTAAGAGGTGCTGGTTCAAACATTTACAGAAAAAATACATATATATAAGAAGATAGGAAACGATGACGAAACTGTTTAATTTTCTATTGAAAATCCTCACATATACAAGCCTAAATCATAAAGGTGATATACTGGAAAGAGAATTGTCAATCATAATCGAAACAAAATTCTTCTAAGCTAAGGATTTGCTTAGATTTGATTGTAAACCAAACATGCCAGCATGGAGGAGCCACTACTTCATTTATTCTGTCAACACCAGCATCATCACAAACATTTTGTACTCAACAATCTAAATTGAGACAAAATTCAATCACCATGATCAGTTTCTTTCTTACACTTCTTTTAAATAAAATGAGCTGAGATGAGATTGATTTCTGAGGAGATAAATGTGTAGGTTCATACTGACAGAAGGCATATTAATTCTCTTGTCATGTGGATTAACATACCCAGAGCTCATGGTACTTCTTATTCTCAATCTACTTGGGACCAGCAAGGGACCGAGGATCCAAACCTAAAAAAAGATGGTACCATCTAGTCCAAGACATTTTTCTCTCCGCAATCAATGCAACTGTATAACAACTATCTCTATCCTACATTATCCCCAACATTGAGTAACGATCCTCTGTACTTCTATACTTTATACTGACAGAAGGCATATTAATAAGGATTAGGTGTCTATTCTATCCAAATGTACTTTGCTTGGTTCTTTTGTTTTTGTCTTCTACTTCAAGGATATCTTGTCCTCTTACTTTCATCTTTAACTCCTTTCTCCCCTTTAATAATATTTCTTTTTATTAAAAATATACTTCATAAATCTCAACTAATTCCCAAATATACCAAAAGTTTTGAAAAATATAATTGAATGTATAGAAATATTTTCAACATTCAAAAATATAAAATTTTTCTTAGTTGTGATAATCATATTATTTTTTGAGGAGAAGTGATAATCATATTACAATCAAATTCTTCAAAACAGTATTACAAACATAAATATTAGGTAAAGCACTTTCAATATCATTTCACAAGAAACATATTATCAAACTCTACAATTACTTATGACAACAGTAATCTTTTAACAGCACCCAACCGAAATTAATAGTAAGTTTCCTTTCTAGAAGAAATTTCTGCAACAAAAAGGGAGCCATAAATGTTAAATTAGCAAGCTCTTGGTTGAGATTCACAGCTGACAAAGAGGAAAAGAATAAAGAATGCAGTATACCATCTAAAGACCATTACCAGGAAAGGACAACACAAATTGAGGAGCAGAATTTTGTGTCAATCAGTCATGGCCAGAAGTTTATTTTAGGAGGAGATCTAACATTGTACTGATGCTGCTTTCTTAAGCCAGCAAATGCCATTTTGGAAATGGACTATGATTGGCATTAAAAAAGTCATGATCATCCCTTGCAATGAGAAGGTAAATAATGGAATCATACGTGGGAGAGGAGAGACTTCACTGGCAATGGCAAAAATAGGGGAACTGCCCGATCATGCCTTGTCCAGACAGCTAATTCATTTTTATATTCCCTTCATTTTTCTCTTTTATCTGCACAACTAAAAATTGCCCCCCTTCTTTTCTCATTTCCAGATTAAACTCTTCATCTTATTATACCAATGAAGTTAACAGCTGGAACTGAATAAATGCTCTGTCCAATCATAGCTACAAATTGAGTGAACCAGATTCATATTCTACAAAATTAACTGATTCAGATTCATATTCATAGAGGTTAGTATCATGGATCAGTAACATTACTATCCTAATAGTCCTTTAACCTATTAAGGTGAGTTTTGCTGGTCCAACACTGAATGAAGTGTTAACCACCTCCTCATCCTACGCTATGAAATAAAAATGATCAAATTTGAAGTGACTCGCTGATCCCCCAGTGATACATAGATAATCAATTAAAAGGATATTAAATGTATACAAACAAAATGAGAAGATAAAGAATATATTCTTTCTTATATAGCCTGCATTTCATCCCTTTGTTTTTCTTTGACTCAAAAGAATCTTTCTAGAAAAATTATTCCATTCCTTTCCTGGCACCAGCCAAAACTTAGTGAAGACGTAATTTTCTCAAGCTAAAACTGTTATTTTTCACCTTTTTGTCCACTACAAGTGAAAAACTGGGTTAACCGAATCTGAAACTAAATTCATACAAGCCTTTATTAAATAAAAAAGTTAGTCATATATTTTACGAAGATTGTTTGATTCGATTCATGTAATCGTGCGAAAATGCGTAGTATAACATGCAGGAAACACTGTTTGATTCGATTCATGTATAAACAAAGTGTAAAGACAGTACGAGTAACAGAGTAGTTGTACTCAGGGGAGGCGAATAGGTAGCAATCAGCGTCGAGAATCTTTTGACGAAAAGCTTCAACTACTGGGGGAAAGGTACCATCGACCTCGAGATCCGTGTTGATCATCGGCAGCACCGAAATGTCGACCTGCTCTATTTGCAATCCGTTGATCGACTGCCTGCTTATCTCCGTCGCTGCACTCATCACCACCAGATCAAAGCCAAACTATACATATATACACATGTACAGGTAATAGTACATATACAGACAACATATATACATATATATATATATGGATATATAGATTAGATAGATAGATAGAGAGAGAGAGAGAGTATACCAGCGCGCAGGAGGCCTCTGTTGAAAGAAGCTTTACGAAGAGAACCACAAAGAGCTACAACTTTTATGAGTGGAGAAGCCGCTGTTGCTGCCTCCATTTTCTACTTCTGTACAAACCAGGAACAAAAACGTGTAATCGGAATCGCCACCAGTTTTATAAAAGTCAGAAGAAAGAACGTTGTGTAATTTTTCGTATTCCTAAAATGCCCCCGTTAAAGATACGAAAAATACAAAAACTTTAAGGGCATTTTTGTAATTTCGTTCTATTTTAAAATTCACGCAGGGGAACGAAATGATTATTAATTTATTTTATTTTATTTAAAATATTTTCATTAACTTTCTCTTATAATAAAATATTTTTTTTAATTAAAACAAAGACTATTAAGTTGCAAAATTAATGACAATCTCGTTTCTCGAATTAATTACAATCTGAGTAATGCAAGTAGAGTCGTGAACTTTCCTTCTTTCTTAAGGTCTTTTTCTCTCTTTCGTGTCGAGTTATTTTCTAAATATTTTTCTTTACAATATTTCGAATTCAAAACATTTAAACCGGATTCACAATGAAAAACTTTGATTTTCACGAGAGAAACTTAAAAGGTCAAGGGATTGTCGCTTGGCATGATAAATGCAAGAAAATACCTCTCTACTAGTCCATAACGTAAGCAATGATTATATCGTATCTTAAGTATTCAAACTGAATTCACTACAGAAAATCTTGATTTTTCAATACGAGAAGCTTACATTGACATTGAGAGATTATCGTTTTGACATGATAACTGCAAGAAAATATCTCTCAACTAACCCATAACATAAGCGATGATTATATTATACTTTTAAAACGATTCTCGTATTAAACTTTTTACTATTTGTCATGTAGTTGATATAATTGTAGTTTCAAAATATTGTTAACTCTACTGTAAAAAAATCCCTCAAGACGAAATTTTCGTAAATTCGAATGTAATTGATGAACATTTGTAATCAAGTCTCCAACTAGATGAGAAATCGTGAAGATGTAAACATCGTTCAATTTTCTTCGTTAACCCGGAATAGTCAACGTTGTTTGTCTATCCCCTATTAATAAGATAGAGAAAATAATGAAATTTTTTTTCGTTAAGAGGGAATTACCTTCAATCATTTATTTTAGTTAAAAACGTAAAAATGTTAAATTGATGTGCTGTGTGAAAAATCAAATAAAAAATTACTTACAAGATTAAATTTAGTAAAAAAATAAAATAAAACCTGAAATAATGTTCTAAATTTAAATAACATCAAGGATCTGAAACAGGGTGGATATTTTGAAGATATCGGAAGGCAGAGAGAAGTATCTGAAGTTCAAAAACACCTATATCTCATTAATACCCTTTTTCTTCTTGACCAAATGATATATATATATATATAGATATATGCAAGAACAAACCCTAGAAAGTTTTTTGATTTATTCACACCTAACAAAATCAAATTTGAGTGGATATATCCCCTCCTCTTGCCATCTTTTCTTCAAACCACTTACAGAAACAATCCTGCAAGACCTCCTTCATCCATGGGTACCGGCAACTTTGAACTGCTTCGGGAATGGTTAGTCACTGCCTCGTTCGGGTGCTTTGTTCAGGCCATGACTCGAGCTCCTCTTTTACAAACAAAGCAAACACTGCAGCTTTACATAAACCTTCTGGACTAAACTCATCCTGGTGAGTTTTGCTCTTGAAGTGATAATATCCTAAAAAAATCCTGAAACTCAGAAACATTAACAAGAGTTTATCTACTTTTAGTACTACAGGATCTCAATAAATCGGAGAATGCAAGCTCTCAAAGACAATTGTCCTTCCCAAAAGAAAAGAACAAAATCTCAATACCCGAAAAGTAACAGACCTATCTCCAAGACATCAAACAATAAAGATGAAGTGACTCATGCATTGTCATCAATTTTTCTCTTTACGCAGATAATCCACCTCCGAATGTGTCAGAAAAACGAGAATATTAGTGAGCGCTAAAGGAATCAGATAGCGATGATGGTGCTGTAACGCAAGTATAGTAAACACGTAACCTAACGTCCATTAAATGTAAACATCAATGTACATACACATCACGTGGATATCCAAAACTACCGATACTGAAGCTAACACTCCACAAAGTGCATAAAATCATATAGATATCTAATCTATTTCAAGACCCTCAACCTCAACAAATGAAACACTCCGTGACAGTTATACCGTATAATTAAAATTGGGGACGATGGGTGGGGGGCAGAAGGAAAGAAAAGTCCATATCAAACTGATGAACAAGTTTTACCATTAGATCCCCACGGACTCCAGCTTCCCTCGATAGCTTCCCTTGCTGCAGACTCCTCAACAGTTTCATCATCCTCCCAGCCACCCTATTCAGATAGTACGAAAAAACAAATCATATGCAAAGCATAATAATGAACAATTACTCACTCTAAAAGTACAAAGAAAAAATTTATATGCAATCACCAAGTGTTTCTAAGGCAAGATACACATGACTGCCAAAAAGATCCCAAGAGCCATTATGCATACAACCTAGGCATTATGGAATAAGAACCTCTCTAAGGATTTTCTCTCTCATGGAATCAAACATAAAACATTATTGTTTCACAACATTCCCTAACATGTATAACAGCTTGAGGAGAAGACACTTTGCAATGGTTTTTTTTTTTTTTAAATATGAAGACACTTTAGAATGTTGAACAAATCGTCTTCCATTTTCAAGTATCCTTCCAATATCTAAGTTACGGTACTAGCAGTTTATAATCTATTGAACGCTCACTAGAGTATTCTATTTGATATTATAATATTCCAAAATTTGCATTAAGTGTAATATCCGAATCCGAAATTTAGGTCAGAATCAATTTTAACATTCTAAAATATATAAAAAAATTTATTTTTAAATTAATTTATTTGAATTTTTATTAAATTTATAGAAAAATTAAGTTAGAAATGAAATTGAAAATAATTTTTAAAAAAATAGGTGAAAATTTGGGTTTGGATGGTATTTTTATAAAAAAAAAATTAGAAACTAAAGATCAGAGTGCAAATAGGAAAAATTGTGCCACGTAAGATTGTCCAGTCAGCAACCCCGACGAATCGGAGCACGCCGCGTGGTAAGGCACGCTGATGTCGGTGCCACGCGGACGATCCACATGCCCCGCAATCGAATGACGTAGGATTGATCCCGCGCGCGTGGACGGTC